GTTTCTCCTTTCCCTTCCTCCTTCCCTAATTTCCCTTTCTCCTTTCCCCTTTCTCCTTTTCTCTTTCCCTTCCCTTCCTCCATCACTCCCTTTCCTTTCTCTTCCCTCTTTTCCCCTTCCATTTCTCCTTTCCCTTCCCTTCTCTTTTTTTTTTTTCATCCCTATTCTGGAGGAGCACTAAGAACAGGTTGGTTTTCACAGCCTCTGTAGAGAGATCAGCACAAAAGCATCTTGGGCCGAGGCTGACACTCTTGTGGAATGGCTTGTTTCAGGCTGTCGGGCTTCCTTGTCATTTCCTTTTCCCCTCTTCCCCCGCCCTTCTCCCCAGCAGGATCGCCGTCATGGCTGCCGATTCGGACGTGCTCCATTTCCGGTTTGAGCAGCAGGGCGACGCCGTGCTGCAGAAGATGAACCTGCTGCGGCAGCAGAACCTCTTCTGCGACGTCTCCGTCTACATCAACGACACGGAGTTCCACGGGCACAAAGTGATCTTCGCCGCCTGCTCCACCTTCATGAGGGACCAGTTCCTGCTCACGCAGTCCCAGCACGTCCGGATTACCATTCTGCAGAGCGCCGAAGTCGGCCGGAAGCTGCTGCTCTCGTGCTACACGGGGGCTCTGGAAGTGAAGAAGAAGGAGCTTCTGAAATACCTCACGGCGGCCAGTTACCTGCAGATGGTGCACATCGTGGAGAAGTGCACGGAGGCCCTTTCCAGGTACCTTGAAATCGATGCTTCGGTCGAAGGCAGCGGCAGGTGTGCCGAGAAATGCCACTCCTCTGACATGGACCTGGGCAGCGGAGACAGCTACCTGGCTAAAGACTGTGAAATCATAGAGATATCGGCAGACAGCCCGGTGAGCGTAGACGAGCACATAAAACAGGAGAAAGGGGACGTTCAGCCAGCGTCCCTGCAGGGCTTAATGTCAGACAGGAAGGAGGCCAGTAGCCTGGAGATATCCACCGTGGAGATCGGCTACAAGGACGACGAAATCTGCATTTTCCAGATGGATTCCATCAACGTCCACAGCGTGGACGATGAGCCGTTTCCGCAGCCTTGCACCTCCTCGAAAACCAGCCTGTACTTCCCCGAAACCCAGCACTCTTTGATCAACTCCACTATGGAGAGCAGGATGAGCGAGGTGGCCCAGTTCCAGGGCTTTGCCGGCGAGGATCCGGAAGGCTTCCCGAACTCTGAGGGTGCAGGCTACCCCTGGCGGCACCAGTGCCCCAAATGCCCCCGAGGCTTCCTCCACTTGGAGAACTACCTCCGCCACTTAAAGATGCACAAGCTGTTCCTGTGTTTGCAGTGCGGGAAAACCTTCACCCAGAAGAAGAACTTGAACCGGCATATCCGTGGCCACATGGGCATCCGTCCCTTCCAGTGCATGGTGTGCCTGAAGACCTTCACCGCCAAGAGCACGCTCCAAGACCACCTCAACATCCACAGCGGGGACAGGCCTTACAAGTGCCACTGTTGTGACATGGACTTTAAGCACAAGTCTGCCCTCAAAAAACACCTGACCTCCGTCCACGGAAGGGCCGGCGTGGACAAATCCGGCTTGGATGCCATCACGGAGGTCAGAATAGACTATGAATAGATGTTGTTTGGGAAGGGGAACTTCTTTTCTTTTTTTTTTAAGGGCCCGATTTGTTGCAGAGCATCAAGATTTCACCTCGCTTTCTCCACTCACAGGCTCCAAATCCTGCATGTAAATATACCACCCCCCGCCATCTATCGATGTTCCTGCAGGCTTTTGAAGAACTGCCGTTCTCCCCATGATATTAAAGCAGCCAAGAAAGGTTGAGCAAAAAGTGGTGCTTTAACTGTTGTTATTTACATATTTATATGTTATATATGATGTAAAGAGTCTTTTTCAGCCTTTGTTTTGCAACACACCCAGAATTTTGTAACGTGCTTTCAACGCAAACGTTGGTTACATTTCGGTTTTGGAGGCCTTAACCAGAGCATCTGGGTTTAGGGGTTTTTTTTGGTGAAAACGTGCAACTTTGTCATGTTCGCAATAAACTGCACCATGGCCAAGGATTGATGCACAATCAAGGCAACGTCCTTATTTTTTTTTCTTTTAACAAAGACTGGACATGTCCTAAAAGCACTGTTGTTGGTCTCCTCTTGTTTGGCAAGCTTCACAAGAATGAAACAGTAGGTTCCATTTTCATCGCTTCAGTCTGAAATTCAAGTGTTATTGTTCGTGGTCCTTGGAGGTTACAAAGTACAATATTTTCCTTCTTTTCCGGAAAGGTTAGAAACATACCATCGTCTTCATCCAGGCAATTCTGTGTCTTGAAGCAGTTATAAATGTATACATTTTTGTGATAATGCAAACAAGCTAGATATCTCCCAGGAAAAATGGATCAACTGCCGCTACAAGGGTACTCATTTTCAAGGATAAACAAAAAACAAAACCCTGAGATGTAAAATATTAATTGTGGAGGTGGGATCATTGATTGCATGCTTTTCCTGAAATGCCAGTGGCATAAATGGTCAAAGAACTCAATCCTGTCAGGTTGCTGATATTTTGAGAAGGTTGTTTATAATGTTATGACCTCTTACCCTTGGCTTTTTGTAAATGTGTGTCTGCTTTTTAGTGTGCTTTCGTGTTAACAGGAGGTCCTGTTTGATTGGTACGCTCCCAATGGTGTAAAAGACTCTTTCTTTGACTCCAGGTGTGTTTGTAAGCAAATTGTGTATGTAACACGGGTGGAGCTGCCCAGTTTTGAGAAAAAGCATCCATTGGCCAGACAGCTCCAGTTATGACGTTGAGAGCTTTGATAATCTTGTGGCTGCTTTTGTGTAGGCATGTATGCCGAATTTTCCGTTTGATTTGTAACAGGAATAAAGTTTGCTTCTGGCTGACAGGATCGTGTAATTTTGAAGCTTAAAGCTTTCCTGCTGACCTTATAAAGTAGCTCCTAAATCTTGCAATTTCTGTTTTACGAGGGGTTTGGGGGCCACCTACAAAAATCAGACAGCTGAAATACGCAGTCATCCTTTTATGCATCCTCACTGGTGAGCAAAAAGCTTTGTGTGGCCAAGGAACAAGAGTCCCCTTTTTGCAATTGGAACATATTACAGGTAGTCCTCAACTTACAGCAGTTCATTTTAGTGACCGTTCAAAGTTAACAACAGCACTGAAAAAAGTGACTTAGGACTGTTTTACACACATGACCCATTGCCGCATCCCCATGGTCATGCAATCAAAACTTGGACGTTTGGCAGGAAAATCATTGAAACTATTAAAAAGCCAAAGTTACCGTTTCCCTGAAAATACGACTTACCCTGAAAGTAAGTCCTAGCTTGATTTTTACACGTGCACCCAATATAAGCCCTACCCACAAAATAAGGCCTAATTAAGATCCTGCCCACTCCAGAGTGGACGGGTAAAAATTAAGCTAGGATGGGGGTGGGGCCCTACTACTTACCTTTGGACAGTTGTAGCCAGGCCTTGCACACCCCGACACCTGCCTTGCCAGCCCATTTCTTCTGCAGCCATGAAGGCCCCTGTAGCTGATGACAAAGCTCTGGATCGATCCAGAACTCTCTTATCGGCTGCAGAGGCCTTCCAAAAAGCTTTGCTGGACACAGAAGAAGTTCCTGAAGGCCTCTAACAGTGAAAAGGAGGCTGTGTCCAAGTGAGGTTAGTCAGTGGATGAAATCCCCCGAAAATAAGACCTGGTGCCTTTTTTGGTGGCAAAAAAATAAATAAAAATAAGACAGGGTCTTATTTTCGGGGAAACAATAGAATATTCCAGACATTTGATGTGACAACTGGAAAAATACACTATATTTCACTTAATCCTCCAAGGAAAGATTGAAGGCAATCAAAGTCCAAGCAGAAGAAAAACACAATGGCTTCAAAATCTCTTAAGGGACCAGTTTGGACAAAACTCAGCAGCACTTTTGAATTGAATTGAATTCCTTATTGTCATCGTACGTATATATACAGTATACACATACAGCTGGTTAATTGCACAATGTGTTTTTCCATCCAGGCCATCCTCAAAAGGGGACATCTTCAGCAGTGGGTGAGGAGTCCAATAGTAGAATAGGATAGACACAGACTAGAATTAGAATAGAAGAATAGAATAGAATCTAGAAGGGAACCTTGGAGGTCTTCTAGTCCAGCCCCCTGGTCAAGCAGGGGAACTTATACCATTTCAGACAAGTGACTGTCCAGTCTCTTCTTAAAAACCTCCAGTGGTGGAACAGCCACAAGTTCCGGTGGCCAGCTGTTCCACTGGTTAATTCTTCTCACTGTTAGGAAGTTTCTCCTTAATTCCAGCTTGCTTCTCTCCTTGGTTAATAATGAAGCCTCCATAACTTCTGAAGGCAACTCCTGAGCCACGGGTTCCCATCCCCGACTTAAAAACGACTCGCATCCCTCCTTTTTTACACATGCCCAATTATTCGCTTTAAAAATCTCTTTTTTCTGTCATCCTTCGGGCAAGGCTCGCAGGCCCCGCCTCCGGGGCGGTGGCTATGCAAATCCGGAGCCGCGCCCCTCTTGGAAGGAGCGAAAGAGAGCGGCGAGCGTCCGCTCTGGCACGCGCGCCCCCCGTCTCTCTGGTGATGGGAGGCCTTCCCCCCCCCACCTCTCTCTCTCTCGCGCGCGCGCGCGCGCGAATGAATCTCGCGAGAGGAGGGGGCGCGGCTTGGGTGGGCGGGCCTCCCGGCTGTCACCGCGATGAGGAGGCGACGCCGTCGCCGCCGCCGCCGCCGACGGGCCGCTTCGCGGTTCGCCCCTCGGGGGGTGTGAGGAGAGGCCGGGCCCTCCCGCAAGTAAGGGGAGCGGGCCCGCGGGGAGCGGGGTCTTAGGCCCGGGGGAAGGGAGGGGGAGGCCTGCTGTGGATCGCCCAGGAGGAGATTCCCTCCCCCACCCCCAGGACAGACCCTCCCCTGAGGAAGGGTCGGCATGGAGGGGGGGGAAATCCCCTTTTCAGGGAGGGGAGGGGCCTCCAAAGAGAGGACAGCAAGTGGGGAGGGGGGAGCAGGAGCAGGGAGGAGGGGACGCTCCTCCCCAGGACCACCCGGAAAAGGGTTGCATGATTTTGGGGGTGGGGGGGGGGAAGCCTTTTATCTGCCTCCTCCCCCCCTCCCCCACCGGGGGGGGTGC